ATTCTCATTCTTGTGTACCTTTGGTTTTGGATTTTAGAGTCTCTGGTGCCCCGACTCCCCAACCTATTGTAATTGGGCAGTGTCAGAATCTAACCGAGAGTATGTCTCATTGGCTACTGTTGTAGTTGGTGCGGGAGGAGGTCAGGGGGCCTCGGTAGTCTCTCCTACATGCGTTGAGTGTATGACAGTAAGATAACCAAACATAAAATGCAAGATAACATAATAACCTGTACAACAAAATAGTTGATAACTTGGGTAAGCGTCTTACGTATACAGCTTTATCTGGATGCCCAGTCCTGAGCCAGGCGAGGAACTTTCGCCGGGTCCGTCTTTGTCATCTCTGCCAGCGGGATACCCCAGTCTTCCAGCAGCTGTATGCCTTGTGGTGCCGACGTCATGGAGTGGAGGGAATCTTGGTGGTGCACTAGCAGCTTAGCCGGGTAACCCCATCTGTAGCTCAGTCCCTGTGTGCATAGCGACAACGTAATTTGCGCCACAGATTTGCGGAACTGTAGTGTTTCTGCTGAGAGGTCGGAGAATATTTTGATATTGTGGAATTTTTCAGGCATCCCTTTGTTTCTGCTTGCCTTGATTATCCGTTCCTTGGCATGGAAGAAATGCACTCTTGCTATGACGTCCCTCGCTGCGGTGGTAGGTAAGTGGCTAGGTCTTCGAAGACGGTGTGCCCTGTCTAGTAATAGTTGATCTGGATGCAGTTCAGGGGTCATCTGTTGGAACATATCTTGTAAATAATTATCCAGGTCAGCATTTGTTACCGACTCCGGTATTCCCCTAAATCGGAGGTTGTTCCTCCTAGACCTGTCTTCCAGATCTGCCAGCTTGAGTTTTTGGGCTGAGATAGTGTCTTCTAGTTCTTGCATTTTATCAGCCACGCTGTTATGGGCCACGGAGAAGTCGTCCATTTTGGATTCAAGGTGTGCAGTACAGTTCCCTATGTCCTGCAGATCTTTTCTAAGCTCTGCTGTCAGTGTGAGCATTTGAGCCCTGAGGCTCCTTTGAACTGAATCCGTGAGTTCAGCCATCATGCTCCTCATGGTTGCCACCGTGAGGGGCTGGTCGTCAACACTCATTCCAGGGGAGGCTGGGGAAGCGGGTGAGCCCTCCCGCGATCGTTGCGGGCCGCCATCTGGCTCATGGTTTTCCCGCGTTTTTAGCAGTGCGGCTTTTGCCAGAAAAAAGGACGCTTTGTCCGCTTTCGCTGGTTTGCTTTTCAGTCTCTGGCACATGGTGAGTACTTGCGGTTGTGCTTGCGGTGGAGATTGCTCGGTAGACCGTTTTTTTATTGCCCCGTGCAGCTTGATCGGCGGGAGCTACTCCGACATGCGGCCGTGCAGCTTGAGCTCCAAACCACGCCCCTAGACATTTTATTTTTAAGATACCGTCAACACCAAAAAAAAGAAATCCCCAGAAATGTTGCCGGGTCTGTTATAAAAAAGGGAAAAGGACAGACACCCCTTTTCACTGTCCCGATTGCCCTACAAAACCTGGACTGTGTATTGGAGCATATTTTAAGGTCTACCACACAGAAAATACATTTTTATAATACTTGTTCCTGATTTATTTTTTTTTGTTTATTTTGAAAGCAGCAAATTTCTGTTAGTCAGTATCCTTCCCCCAAATCTCCAGTTAGATTCTTTTTGCAGGAGTTAGTTTACAGATTGCTGCTAACGGACATTTTAGTCTCATTTAGTCTGTTTTTATCAGTTTTAGTCTGTTTTTAGTATAAAATTAAAAAAAATTGTGTGTTAGTAACTCTGTGTTAGTCAGACTCTGACGCCACTGACACTGCGTCCGATTTTGACCCAGGTCAGTTTTCTGACACATCTACTGACATGTCATCTGTGTGTGAGCCGGCTGCAAAAAGAAGCTGTGCTTTCTCTGCTATGCCGAATGTGGAGGAGGAACGGGTTTCTCCACAGTTAGCTGAGCACCAAATCACCCCTTTTAGTGCCAACACAGGCATTAATGTCAATGTGGATGACTTCTCCCCTATGCAATATATGGAGGTATTTTTAGGGGATACCATCTGGGAGGAGATTGCTCCCCAGACTAATTTATATGCTATCCAATTTATTGATACCAATCCAGATGGCTATGCAGTCAGGGAGGAGTGTGCTTGATGTCGCTGAACTTAAAAAATTCTGGGCTCTTACAATTCTCATGGGGATTATAAAGAAGCCATCAATTTGCTCTTACTGGAGCACCAACCCAATCTATTCTAGTCCAGTGTACTCTCAAACCATGTCTAGAACAAGATTTGAGCTGCTGCTGAGATACTTACATTTCAATGACAATACCTTCTTTCACCCAAGAGATCACACCGAATATGATAGGCTTCATAAAATACACCCACTGGTAGACCATCTTCAGCACAAATTTACTGAAGTTTATACTCCTCAAAAATTTTAGGATTAGGATTAGGATTCAAACAATACATCCTCTCAAAGCGCTTTAGGTATGGTGTAAAATTCTACAAACTGTGCGAGAGCGAAAGTGGCTATACATTTGCCTTTCATATATATGAGGGGAAAGATGGTCAACTGGACCCTCCTGGCTGTACTGACTCTCTGGGAACAAGTGGGAAACTTGTTTTTGACTTACTGATCCCCTTGTTCAATAAGGCTTACCACCTTTATGTGGACAATTTTTATAGCATTGTCCGTTTGTTTCAAACTCTTTAGGGTTTCTAGATACTGGCAGTGTGAGAAGATATGCCAAGGATTTCCCCAGACCTTTTATAGAGGCCAAATTAAAAAAAAGTGAATGTAAAGGTCTGCACAAAGCTAAAGTGCTTGCAATAAAATTTAAGGACAGGAAGGATGTTAATATACTAACCACCATCCATGACGAAAGCATGTCAGACGTCACTGTCCGAAGCAGAGTACAGACCTAACCTGATCTACCTGATGCAAGTAGCAACACATAATTCATTTTTACTCTTTGAAAAAATGAATCCAGAAAGAACCACCTTTCTCCAATTTTAGTTCAAGCTGATTTCCACAATAATTTATGGAGATGGTCAAGTTCCAACAACGGTGCCAGAGGAGTCCAGACATTTTATTTTTTAAAAAAAAAAGCCTGGCATAAAAAGGTGGCTATCTACCTGATGCAAGTAGCAACACATAATTCATTTTTACTCTTTGAAAAAATGAATCCAGAAAGAACCACCTTTCTCCAATTTTAGTTCAAGCTGATTTCCACAATAATTTATGGAGATGGTCAAGTTCCAACAACGGTGCCAGAGGAGTCCAGACATTTTATTTTTAAGATACTGCCAATTGCAAAAAAAACCAAATACCATCGAAATGTTGCTGGGTCTGTTATAAAAAAGGGAAAAGGACAGACACCCCTTTGCACTGTTTTTTTTCTTTTGAAAGCAGCAAATTTTAGTTAGTCAGTTTCCTTCCCCCCAAATCTCCAGTTAGATTCTTTTTGCAGGAGTTAGTTTAGAGAATACTGCTAAAGGTGCATTTGATACCTGCACATTTGGTTAAAAAAGTTTTATGGTAGTAACATATAACTGGCTGGCCAAAACCAGATGACGTGTGCATAAAAAGCAGAATTCAAAAATTAGCACCATGCACGTTCTCTGAAATTTGTTTAGCACAATGGTTGGAGGAAGGATGTGAAAACACCTCATATACAATACCCTGGAATGTCTACTTTATAAAAATATAAACTTTCATGATGTTAACATTAACGAGGGGATGCAAAAATATGCCAAACTGAAGATAGGCCAAGCATACCTATATATCAAGTTGAAAAACTGATATGTACAAGTCTCGATTGTGGCCTTTTAGCCCCCAAACAACCCAGCAAACCTATGCATGGGTGATATCACTGTACTCAGGAGATGTTGCTGAACACATATTGGGGTGTTGTTTGGCAGTGACACATAACACGATCTGTTATTTTATGCCTAAAGTACAATGTGTGTGAAAAAACACACACAAAAAATGACTACCTAAATGTTTGACAAAGTCTGGTGGTAGAATTAGTGAATGGAAAGTATTAAAAAAACACCATTTGAAATACCCTAGGGTGTCTACTTTCCAAAAATATATGGTTTGGTGGGGGTAAAATACATTGGCCGGCCTTACAAATATCCCAAATAGGACATGTGCGCAGGTTGACTACATGTCAAAATTCCATGTTGAAAAATGGGTATGCGCACCTGCCAAATGTGGCCTTTTAGTCCCCAAACAACCCGACAAGCCTATGCATGGGTGGTATCAATGTACTCAGGAGATGTTGCTGAACACATATTGGGGTGTTGTTTGGCAGTGACACATAACACGATCTGTTAATTCATGCCTAAAGTACAATGTGTGTGAAAAACACACACAAAAAAATGACTACCTAAATGTTTGACAAAGTCTGGTGGTAGAATTAGTGCATGGAAAGTGTTAAAAAAAACATTTGAAATACCCTAGGGTTTCTACTTTCCAAAAATATGTTGTTTGGTGGGGGTAAAATACATTGGCTGGCCTTACAAATGTCCCAAATAGGACATGTGCGCAGGTTGACTACATGTCAAAATTCCAAGTTGGAAAATGGATATGCGCACCTGCCAAATGTGGCCTTTTAGCTGCCAAACAACTCAACAAGCCTATGCATGGGTGGTATCACTGTACTTGGGAGATGCTGCTGAACATATATTAGTGTGTTTTTTGGCAGCAAGACATAACAGGATCTGTAAGTTTATACCTGAATTGCAATGTATGTGAAAAAAAAAAAAAACTACCTATGCAAAGTTTGGCAAAGACTGGTGGTAAAATGGCTGCATAGAAAGTGTCAAAATATCCTTAGATGAATACCCTGGGTTGTCTACTTTAAAAAAAAATATATACAGCTGAACGGACGCACTAACAGAGAGCTCCAAATAATCGACGACAACCCGCTTCAATCCGAGGTACCAGGGTACCATCCGATGACCCAAACACCCACCCGAGTACCCCTGGAGCCCAAGGCACAGGCGAATGCTGTTCCATTTCCCGCAAACGGGTAAAAAGACCCGGCGAAAATCTGGGGCCTACCTGACACTCCAAACCGCAAGGTACGCGACGGAGGCCGCAGCAATCGACGCTCGACACGGCACCTACCTCTTAAAGGACCCCGCGGAACCGGACAGCTACACAATGGGTCGCAGGTCCCAAAAGCCTCCACCAACTGCCGGCAGAGGCACCCAAGATATCGGCGACATGCTGCAGAGGCCAATGGCGCCCAAGATGGCGACCCCGGCGGAGCGCACGCCAGCCTCTCCAGACGAGGGGGAACAGCATGGGGCTGGATTAGAAATATCCACCGCTTCCCAAGCCACAGAGTCACTTGCCAGCCAAGATACACAAACCCCGGCTACCAAACAAGATATTGCCGACCTCCTGATGGAAATGAGAAGAATGCATGCAGCAGATATCAACCTAATAAAGACTGAAATGCACGCACGCACACGGGCCACAGAGGAGGACATCCTAGATCTCCAAAGAGAGGTGAGAGAGATAAAAGACACTTGTTACCATATGCAGGCCGCACAGTCCACCCTAATCACAAGACTGGACCAAACAGAAGACCGCAACAGACGTGCTAACCTAAAATTAAGGGGGATCCCAGACACCATAGACTCATCAGAACTACCCCACTACCTCAGACGCCTCATAGCGACGCTTCTGACACCCGCTCAGGCAAAAAAACTTGTATTGGACGGCTGTTTTAGAATCAGAAAAGCCAGACAAGCACCAACGGACGCCCCTCAAGATGTCATTATCCGATGTCACTCCCTCTCACGGCGGTCAGAGGGAAGACCCCGCTAACATTTGAAAACTCTCAAGTTACCTTTTACCAAGACCTGACCCGCAACACATTACTGTGGCGCATATCTCTGGCCCCAGTCACAACTCAACTGAGAGAGGCAAAGCTCGAGTATAAATGGACATTCCCAAGGTCCCTGACAGTGACCAAGGGGGGCGCCACGCACAGCCTCTCCTCGCTACAGGATGCAGAACCTTTCCTGAGGGCACTAGGGATGCCAGCTCTAACCCAAACAAGGGAGAACCCCACGACGCCACACACATGGAACCCAGAGACAGTAATCTCTTTCACTCCTAGGAACACTGAGAGAAGCAGAGCCCTAACCTGAACTGCCCCACTGCGCCAGACCTTCGACCTCCTATGTGTCCTCCACAGGCGCTGAGGAAGAGCTGTTCTGAACTGCATTAATGGTGGCCAGCGACTTTAATACATTAACCAGACACTGCCTCCTCTTTAGGGATTTGCATGCCGGCTCACCTACTGTTTTACCCTATGCTTGTTTTTTATGGTTTTTATGTTTTGGTGTTTTGTTATTGGTTTTCAGCACGATATTACTACACACACACACTCGACAAGTATAGCTTACGCTATACCATAACTGTGACTGACCGCCATCAGCCGTGACTTACTCGGACAAAGAACACCACAAGCTCCGGGGAGAATATACCTTCTCCCACCCCCCCGCGACTTCCTCGGTAAGAAGTCAAAACCCCAACCCATCGATAGACCACAAAGATTCAACGGGCTCCATGAGCGATAACGCTTGCCCCACGCACACACGCTGACATAAACAGACATCACATAATTCACTCGCAGATACAAACAACACTAAGGACAGCCATGCGCACACACACGCAAACCCAACACGGAACACATTAAGGGGTACAAACACGCTGACAACTACCTCCGGACTGACAACCTTCAGATACCCACACCCCGAATTACCATGATCCCGGAACTCGAGGGGGAATGACATACACTGCAAATACACTCCATGGAGGCCTTAGTTCCTCACTAGTTGACTTGTAAAAATAAAAATAAAAGGTGCAGATCTAGCTGACATTACAACTTGGAACTGACAGACAAAAGTATGCCTTAACTATGTTGTGAAGTCCTGTAACAACCATCACCCGCAAGGCTGTTGTGGCCAGGCGGGCTGTTTTGTACTTAACAATGCACACAAGAATAAAAAAAAAAATATATATATATACATGTGGAGTGTTTTCCAGAGATTTATGACAGATAATAGTGTTACAATGTAACTATTGATATATCCAGTCTTTTTTAGTAGCCACTTAGTCACAAACACTGGCCAAAGTTAGCGGTAATATTTGTGTGTGAAAAATACAAAAAACTAATTTGAAAGCCAATTTTGGCAAGTGTTTGTGACTAAGTGGCTACTAAAAACAGACTGAACATACCCCATTTGCAATACCTTGGGTTGTCTACTTTTACAAATGGTATGCCATCATGGGGGTAATTCTCATTCCTGGGCTACCATATGGTCTCAAAGGCAACGTAACCAATCTAGCGAATTTCAATGTGAAAAAACTGAAACGCAAGCCTTATATTTGACTCTGTAACTTTTGAAAACACCATAAAACCTGTACATGAGGGGTACTGTTATACTCAGGAAAACAAGAATATTTGTGTTTCAAAACAGTAAAAAGTATTACAGCAATAATATCGTCCATGTAAGTGCCGTTTGTGTGTGAAAAATGCAAAAAATTTCACTTTCACTGACGATCATCGTTGTAATACATTTCATTTCATTTTTTCAAGCATCCTCCCAACAGGTCCTTTCATCTCACAAAATGGCCAGGGGACAAGGAGAAGCGTATGGCTCTACAAAACTTCATTCTATCCTTGCAAGCAGAGAATGTCATCACAACTGTGCCGGCAAACGACAGAAATCAGGGATTCTACTCTCACATCTTCCTAACAAAGAAATCCTCAGGAGGATGGATCTGCACAGATTGAACAAACATCTACACATTTGCAGATTCAAGATGGAATCCCTCCAGTCCATTATAAAAGTGGTTTAACACAACCAATGGATGTTATCGATAGACCTGTTAGACGCCTACTTCCACATACCCATTGCCCTATCCCATTAAAGGTTTCTGAGGTTTGCCGTAGATGAGGGTCATTTCCAGTTCAGAGCACTGCCGTTTGGACTAAGCACTGCTCCAAGGACGTTCACAAAAGTATTGGTAGTTCTGATTGCAGAACTAAGAAAGCTGAATATCGCTATCTATCATTATTTGGACGACATCCTAATTATAGGAGACAGCAAAGATTCATTGACATCCCAAGCTATTACCAGCATCCAGTTTTTGAAAGCTCACAGCTGGAAGATCAACACCAAGAAGAGCCACCTCACTTCGACACTCTGAGAGGTACTGTCCAACTTTCGATGACAAGAATATCGAAGCTCAGGATACAATTGAGAAAGATAATAAAGTCCAGTGTTGTTCCTGCAAAGACGGTAATGAGCCTCCTCAGATCCATGTCATCCACAATAGGGCTGACCAGATGGGCACAATGGAGGATGAGACCATTTCAAGCCAATTTCCTGACGCAATTTGCTTCCAAGAATCTACTCCAACCCATCAAGTTATCCCGAGAAGTACGCCGTTCTCTGATCTGGTGGCTGAACAAGGAACACCTTTCCAGGAGGTTTCCACAAGGAGACATCACATGGATAGCAGTGACAACAGATGCCAGCCAATGGGGATGGGGTGCACATTGTCTCCAACACTTTGCACAGGAAAAATGGAATTTCACGACAGGCAATGTGCATTCCAATCTACTAGAACTTCTTGCTGTCCTCAAAGCACTGAAGCATTTCTCAGTATATCTCAAAAACCAATGGGTAAAGATAAGGACAGACAACACCACCGTGGTATCCTATATCAATCACCAAGGAGGCACCAGGAGTGGCAAGATGATGGGAATTATGAAGCAGCTGATGGGATGGGTTCAGAAGAACTTGGCAGGCCTTACTGCCACCCATCTACCAGGGAAACGGAATCAATTAGCCGATTTCCTCAGCAGATCCAAGATAGACCCAGGAGAATGGTGCCTATCGGACAGAGCATTCTGCATGATTGTGGACAAGTGGGGTCTCCCTCAAATAGACCTACTAGCTACCCGTGTCAACAGGAAGGTAAAGGTTTACTTCACAAAAAAAAAGGACCATCTAGCACTGGGAAGAGAAGGTATCTCTCATCCTGATAGCCCCCTTTTGGCCTCGAAGGCCTTGGTTTCCCCTGCTTCAGAACCTTTCAGTGGAACCTCCTCTCCCTCTTCCCAGAACTCCGGATCTACTGTTCCAGGGCCCAGTGTTGCATCCAAACCCTGTCTCACTAAATCTCATGGCATGGAGACTGAAAGGAACAGGCTTGTGAACAAAGGATTCTCCCAGGCCGTAATAGAAACTATGCTGAAGGCTCGTAAGCATTCTACTTCAGCCACCTATTATAGAGTGTGGGAAGTTTTTTCCGCCTGGGCTCTTCCTAGAAACATTGATCTACAGAATCCCTCTTCCATGGATATTTTGGAGTTCCTGCAGTCTGGACTTACTAAAGGTCTGAGTTATAATACTCTAAAGGTACACGTCTCAGCTTTGTCCGCCTTAACCAATCATAGATGGGCATTAGATTCAGACGTTATTAGATTCATTAAAGGAGTCCTTAAAATTAAACTTCCAATTAAGCCATTTGTTCCCTCCTGTAATCTCCCTTTGGTTCTGAACGCCTTAAAATTAGAACCTTTTGAACCCCTTGAATCAGTTCCTCTACAGGTTCTGTCTATCAAGACAGCTTTACTGATCGCCCTAGCTTCCGGCAGGAGAGTTTTGGAGCTTCACGCCCTATCCAGTAAGGAACCTTTTACGGTCTTTCATAAGGACAGAGTTATCCTCCATACTCTTCCTGAATTTAGACCTAAAGTCACCTCCGCCTTTCACATTAACGAAGATATTGTTCTACCATCTCTGACGCCTGAATACCAAGAAAGCGAGAGTTCAACTGACATGTCATCTCTGGACCTAGTGAGATGCCTTCGGATATATATTGAAAGGACGGCGGCTTGGCGCATTTCTCAAAACCTCTTGGTCCTTCATAGTGGTAGTAAAAAAGGCTTACAAGCCCCTAAAACTACCATTAGCAGATGGATAGTGGCAGCCATTATACGGGCCTATCAATCCTCTGGATATACGGTTCCTGTGGGTCTTAAAGCCCATTCCACTAGGGCCCTCTCATCTTCCTGGGCAGCAGCGGCTAATGTCTCTCCTGAGCTCATTTGTAAGGCGGCCACATGGTCTTCCACCAATACCTTTATTAGAAGTTATCAAATTGATGTTAGAGCCAGTCTATCAGATCAAATTGCTAAATCTTATTTAGAAAAAAGAAAATAATGAATCACCTTTTAAAATTGTTTAAATGGGGATTATCCGAGTACCTCAAATAAAAATCTGTAAAAGACAATTTAACATAGTGCAGATCATACAATATAGTATATTGAAACAAATTTCTAAACATCAAAAATAGGGGTGGATCGCCTAAACGGATCCAAAGACGCATTAACTTGGAGCTGGGCCCACAGCTCCACGTCTGTGAGTTTAAATAATTAGAAATTTGTTTCAATATACTATATTGTATGATCTGCACTATGTTAAATTGTCTTTTACAGATTTTTATTTGAGGTACTCGGATAATCCCCATTTAAACAGTTTTAAAAGGTGATTCATTATTTTCTTTTTTCTAAATAAGCGCTGCATTCATATATTTTGTATCATTTTCTATGTGTGACATTGTAAGGAGTCATTGGAATGTTTTAGCAGCTACATCTAATTGATTTACCATACAGTTTTACTACCGATTGAATTTACAAGCGCTGGTTTCTTTACATTTTGTTGTATAATTTGCTAAATCTGTTCTGTCTGTATCCAATACGTGATTCTTTGTTTTTCACTGGTTAATGGTGTTAATACACTTTGCATTCAAAATTTTCGAGTCTGTGTTTTTTTCTTCCCTCCCTGGTTTATTGCTTGAGTATTACCCAATGTTGTGCTGCCATGGATATGGCCAGGAAAATAGAAAATTTATCCATACTTACCGTAATTTTCTTTTCCTGGTCATAGGCCATGGCAGCACAAGGGTCCCACCCGGGGCTATTGCTGTAATGACTGGGGAAGGAGGGGCAGGAGGTGGTACTTATACGGCTTAATTATTATTCCTGTCCAATGAGGATAGGGAGGAGCTCCCCAATGTTGTGCTGCCATGGCCTATGACCAAGAAAAGATAATTACGGTAAGTATGGATACATTTTCTATTATATAAATGATCTAAGTATATTTTATTTTTAACTAATATTTTATATTTACCCTTAAGGGGTTAAGAGGGGAGGAGAGGGGCAGAGACAGTGTCAGCCAGTGATTGCACATCATTGGCTGACACATAGGAACAGTGATCACAGTAACTGGCTGTAACTGTGATCACCTCCTGCAGATCGGGGTAATTGGCCATAGGAGGAGTGCCTGGGTGGCCAGACATATCCCCCACCGTGATCTGCAGGGGGATCCTGCCTGCAGTTACATGTGTCAGCCAATAGGCTGACACATAGTAACTCTGATCGCAGTGACAGGCTGTCACTGCGATCAGATCGTAGTGAGAGGCTGTCTCTGCGATCAGATTGCAGTGACAGCCTGTCACTGCGATCAGGCTGAGCAGATCGCGGGCACTGACCGCAGGGGGACTGCCTGGGGGGCCAGGCATGTCACCCGACCGCGATCTGCAGCGGAAGAAAGGATGTTCTATGCCATCCTGTGGCGTTTAGAGTCAGCCCCTTAAGGACGGTATAGAACGTCCTCCGTCCATAAGGGGTTAATCCACTAGGTGTTAGGGCATTTAATCCATTAGGTGTTAAGGTTTTATATTATTTCTAGGCTTCTGAAGGTCATACCGACATATTGGTAGCCACTTGGGCATTCCAATAGATAATTTAAAAAAAATTGTGTTACACGTAATAAAATCATTTATGTTAAAAGTCTTTTTTTGTGATGTTAGAGGTAAAATTGGTAGTTTTATTTGGCACTGAACTTTGTGTTGTCTTACATACAATGCATTTTTTGCATTAAAAAAAAACCTTTCATATTAGATTGGGCCATTTTTTATGTATTTTGTTTCTAGTGACATTTTTTGTTAACAAATATTTACAATTAGGGCCCCCTTTAAAATTAATATTTGGTTTAGTGGGGATTATTTAGTTTCAAATTTCGTCATATAAACATAGAATGTGACCGCAGATAAGAACCATTCAGCCCATCTAGTCTGCCCAATTTTCTAAATACTTTCAATAGTCCCTGGCCTTATCTTATAGTCAGGATAGCCTTATGCCTAACCCATGTATGCTTAAACTCCTTTACTGTGTTAACCTCTACCACTTCAGCTGGAAGGCTATTCCGTGCATCCACTACCCTCTCAGTAAAGTAATACTTCCTGATATTATTTTTAAACCTTTGCCCCTCTAATTTAAGACTATGTCCTCTTGTGGTAGTTTTTCTTCTTTTAAATATAGTCTCCTCCTTTACTGTGTCGATTCCCTTTATGTATTTAAATGTTTCTATCATATCCCCCCTGTCTCGTCTTTCCTCCAAGCCATACATGTTAAGATCCTTTAACCTTTCCTGGTAAGTTTTATCCTGCAATCCATGAACCAGTTTAGTAGCCCTTCACTGAACTCTCTCTAAAGTATCAATATCCTTCTGGGGATACGGTCTCCAGTACTGCGTACAATACTCAAAGTGAGGTCTCACCAGTGTTCTGTACATTTGCATATGCACTTCCCTCTTTCTACTGCCAATACCTCTCTCTATACAACCAAGCATTCTGCTAGCATTTCCTGCTGCTCTAGTACATTGTCTGCCTACTTTTAAGTCATCAGAAATAATTACCACTAAATTCCTTTCCTCAGATGTTGAGCTTAGGACTCTATCAAATATTCTATACTCTGCCCTTGGGTTTTTACGTCCAAAATGCATTATCTTGCACTTATCCACATTAAATGTCAGCTCCACAACTCTGACCATTTTTCTAGTTTACCTAAACCATTTTCCATTTGGCTTATCCCTCCTGGATCATCAACCCTGTTACATATCTTGGTATCATCAGCAAAAAGACATACCTTACCATCAAGACCTTCTGCAATATCACTAATAAAAATATTAAAGAGAATGGGTCCAAGTACAGATCCCTTATGTACCACACTGGTGACAAGACCATGCTTGGAATATATGCCATTGACTACAACTCTCTGTTGCCTCTCACTCAGCCACTGCCTTACCCATTCCACAATATTGGAATCCAGACTAAAGATTGCAGTTTATTGATCAGCCTTCTATGTGCAACAGTGTCAAAAGCCTTACTGAAATCTAGGTAAGCAATGTCTACTGCACCACCCTGCTCTATTATTTTAATTACCCAATCAAAAAAATCAATAAGATTAGTTTGGCATGATCTCCCTGAAGTAAACCCATGTTGTCTCTGATCTTGAAACCCATGTGATTTTAGATGTTTAACAATCTTATCCTTTAACATGGTTTCCATTACTTTCCCCACTACTGAAGAAAGGCTTACTGGCCTATAGTTGCCCGACTTCTCCCTACTATCTTCCTTGTTAACTTACAATATTCTGGGTGTACTATTGTTAACAATGATTGGTTAAATACATCTGTTAATGGTTTTGCTAGTACACCACTAAGCTTGTATAATGACTTTTAGTGTATTCCATCAGGTCCAATTGACTTATTTGTCTTTACTTTTGACAGTATTACCAAATTCTTACGTAACCCAAATTGACTCTATGTTCGCCTCACTAACTTTTATTAGGCTAGATTGTATGCTACCCTTCCCATACAGGGTCACACCTACCCTTTTCTTGCTCTCCCTGTCTTTTCTATATAAAGAGTACCCTGGAATTGCTATGTCCCAGTCATTTTTCTCATTATACCATGTCTCAGTAACAGCGACTAAATCTACATTATCTGTTGCCATTATTGCCACAAGTTCATGGATCTTATTCCCTTAACTGCCAGCATTTGTAGACCTGACACTAAGCTTATCATTTTTAACACACTTGCTACAGGCACCTTCTGTCCTTGTTTTGGGTGACAATTGGATTGATGTTTTATAACCCTTTTGCCCCCTCCTAGTTAAAATACATCTTAGTAAACCCCTGAACTGCTCACTGAGAAAATTTGCTCCCTTTTGAGAAAGATGCAAACCATCTTAATGTACAGTTTATGTACAGCCAAATCCTTGCTCCCGACACCATTCACTAAGCCACCAGTTAAAGTCCCTAATACACATTCACCTGTCGTTCTGAGTGTTATGCACAGGCAGAACTTCAGAGAATGACAGTGTGGAAGCAACCTGCCCTATATCATTGGGAAAAACACAAAAAAAACGTCCTTTACCTCTGAAACCTATTTGCAAGCCAAGTCATTTGTCCCTAGATGGACAAGTACATCCAATTCCCCTTCCTGCTTTGCTCGCTTAACAATATTACAAATGCGTCTCCTGTCTCTGTGAGCAGTAGCTCCAGGAAGACATCTCACAAGACCACTATTGTCCAGCTCCACACCTTGAATCCCCCAACAACAACTGCTTTCTGTTAGGCCTCACCATAGTCTCCAAGCCTGTCTCCATAATACAACTGCACTCGGTGCCTGAGAATGTCTCCACAACACCACTACACTCGGTGCCTGAGCTTGTATCCACAACACCACTACACTCAGTGCCTGAGCCTGTCTCAACAACACCACTACACTCAGTGCCTGAGCTTGTCTCCATAACACCACTACACTCAGTGCCTGAGCCTGTGTCCATAACACCATTACACTCTGAAAGTGCTGAAATGAATTATGTAGAGCAACAGACTGTGCAATATGCATTTTATCCACAACGCTAAGTCTACCAGATCCTACAGTCTTGTTGTAAGATATGCCAATGTTTATTTATTATTATTTGTATTTCTCTGTTTTTATTATTTAAATCAAATACGATTGGGCTAGAGGGTGCAGCCTTATTTTTATCTTTATAAGTTTATACATTATCTCTATCCATGGATTCTACTTTTTCAATGATAATGTCTACTTTTTTTTTCCGAATACACCCTGTTCCAAATTATTATGCAAATTATATTTTTCTCATTTACCTAAATAATTGATGTAAATAACAGTCAGCATAATTCTCATGTTATCAACTATTAAGAGTACAATTAAAATTTTATTGAACAAACCTCCTAATGATAATGGTATTTTTGTTTAAACTTAAAAAACTTACAATGCACTGTTCCAAATTATTATGCACAGTAAGTTTCAAAACACTTTATAGGTTGTAAAGAACTTAAAAATTGTCATTTGTTGTGTTTGCAGCATATTTACTGAAATCAAAAGCTATTTCAATCAAACTTATAACAACATTTTAACTTTTTAAACATTTTAACAGGTCACGCTACATTTTAACATAGGACCCCTTATTTGATAGCAGCTTCACAAGTCTTGCATCCATTGAACTTGTGAGTTTTGGACAGTTTCTGCTTGAATTTGTTTGCAAGATGTCAGAATAGCCTCCCAGAGCTGCTGTTTGGATGTAAACTGCCTCCCACCCTCATAGATCTTTTGCTTGAGGATGTTTAAGTTTTTCCTTAAATTGGGCTCACCTGGCAATCTAATTATCACAGGTGTCCAAGATTGTTGTCAGTGAGCAAAAGAGCCCTGAGACACAATGCCATCCATGAGTTAAACAAAATATTTAATCTTTGTGACACTTAAATAGAATTTGCATAATAATTTGGAACAGGGTGTAGTTCTTTTCTAGGAACTTATTTTTGAGAGTGAAGTTTGGGTTTTAAAATCTTCTTGTTTAGAGCAATTTCTTTTTAATCGTATAAATTGGCTCTTAGGTACACGTTGGAGGCAAGGAGCAAAGTGACAGCTGGTTGATCTATAACTGTATTTGTACATACTCTACTTAAAAAAAAAAAAAAAATTCTAGTGTTTATGTCACCATCCTTAAAGGACCACTCTAGGCACCCAGACCACTTCAGCTTAATGAAGTGGTCTGGGTGCCAGGTCCTTCTAGGGTTAACCATTTTTTCATAATTATAGCAGTTTCAGAGAAACTGCTATAATTATGAATGGGTTAAGCCTTCCCCCTAATCCTCTAGTGGCTGTCTCATTGGCAGCCACTAGAGGCGCTTGCGTGCTTCTCACTGTGAAAATCACAGTGAGAGCACGCCAGCGTCCATAGGAAAGCATTGTAAATGCTTTCCTATGAGACCGGCTGAATGCGCGCGCAGCTCTTGCCGCGCGTGCGCATTCAGCCAGCGGGGCGTAACGGAGGCGGAGAGGAGGAGAGAGCTCTCCGCCCAGCGCTGGAAAAAGGTAAGTTTTAACCCCTTTCCCCTTCCAGAGCCGGGCGGGAGGGGGTCCCTGAGGGTGGGGGCACCCTCAGGGCACTATAGTGCCAGGAAAACGAGTATGTTTTCCTGGCACTATAGTGGTCCTTTAATAAAAATTTGGAGATCTAAAAAGTTTATTTCATCTTTACTATATTCATGAGTTAAAATGATACCCCATATCATTTGAATTCAGATGATTTAAAAACAGATTAAGATTCTGGGCCACTGCAAATAAAAACAAATCATCAATATAAGATATGATTTCCCCAGATGGTTTCTGATTCCCAGTCGTCCATAAATAAATTAGCATAGCTTGGGAAGAACCTAGAACCAATGGCATTTCCTTGTTTCTGAAGATAAAAAGAATCTAAAAACCAGAAAAAAAATATTATTTAAATTAATCTCTATGCCTTTCCTAATGAAACTAATCTGTTGTTGAGGTAACCTGTTTTCTTTACTCAGTATACTGATGACTGTTTCCCATCTCTTATGGGTATTGGGTGGGTCACCCGCCTTTGCTGCACGGTGGGGTCAGGGCTCCCATGTTTAGTGGCGTTACCTGTGTCCTACTTAGCTCATGTGAAGTGTGAAATGTGGCAGGCGAGTTGGCAGTCTAAGTTCACAGTATCACCTCCCGGCTTTTGCACATTGCATACATTTCCCTGCCCGCCATTCCCGCCCCATTCATCCCGCTTGCCCATCTCTCACCACCCGCTGCCCTGGTTGGCCGCTCATGCCAGAGGTCACAGTCCAGTGCAATGCATGGGGTGTAAGGCTCACGGTACCTCTTTTGGCACTACTTGGCTTTCGCCTCGTTGCTGTCCATTCCAGAGGCTCCCCTGTGCCCCAGCATGTTGGCCACCCAGCAGCAGATCGCCACAAAGTAAGCAGTCCAGTCTCTGTTGGTTTGGACAGTCGTGCGAGCTTGCTCGCTCGTGTGGTCTGTGACCCTCCGGTAGGTATACGGTGCCTTTGTGGGGCACTCAGGTGGTACTCAGGTGGCGGGTCTAGGGACGGTGTCCAGTGTTTGTTTACCAGGCTATAAAGAAGTTGGGGGTATAAAGAAGTTCTCCGGGTCTGTCATTTTCGCTGCTCTGCTAAAGCTTTGTCACAGCTTATATTTGGGCCTAGCAAGGCAGCTGCTCGGTGTTGCGCTCACTGTCTGTGATGGGCATTTAAGCCCCATGGCACCGGGGCAAGTGATGATTGGCGGTAATAAGTAGTGTGCTGGCTCTGAACTTGCCAGAGAGTCTACATAGAGTTCGTGAGTGGGTCGATCTTAGGGCCCATGGTTACCCAGTCAGAAAGGTGAAACCCTCCAACCCCCTGCGTGTGACCTCAGACCGGGGGCCCCTGCATTACAAGCCTCTGCTCCGCCACTTACAACCATCACCTACAACACAACTGCACATAGACAACTTAAAGAAGAAACTTAACGAAATACACCTCCAAACCACAGCACTCATGACACATAGGTTGAGATTGACTACCTAAACACAGGAAAACAGAGCGGGGAAGGCATTGGCATCACTCCTACGACACAAATGGCAGAACTCCAAAATACCATTCCTCATAAATTCTAAGGGCAATAAAATTTACAACCTACGGGACATAAATGACACAATGGCGGACTATACAACAAGCTTTACAACCTAAAAAATGACAGCAATACACACCAACCACTCTCCTTGGAAATTGACGGATTTATGAATGAAATACAACTCCCTACACTCAGACAGGCCGACAGACTGCTGCTAGAGGCACCCATCACCCAACAAGAAATTACACGCACAATACAATCACTCCAAAAGGGAAAGTCACCGGGCCCAGACGGGTTTACGAATCTGTACTACAACCTTTTCACACATTCTAACCCCCAAACTAGAAAACCTATATAATAATATCCTGACCACCGGCATTATGCCCCGAGAAATGTTGATGGCCCACATTGAGACCTTGCCCAAGCCGGGCAAGCCACCACACAAATGCCAGAACTTACGCCCCATATCATTGCTAAACACAGACTTCTGACGAAAATATATGCAACAAGACTGTTGGACCTCATACCGACACTGATACAAGATGATTCACAGGGAAGGACAGCAACACACCCTCTGGGAGTCCCGGGCCCTCACAGGCCTCCATGGTCAATGAGGTTTGTGTAACCCGTGTGAGAGCGTTTGTCTCATTGTATGTGTCCTTAGTATGTAAAATACTACACAAACATGGCAACACACTCACACGACTCATATCAGAATATTGCTTATATGACGTATGGACCACACAACACCTGAGTGATCGAGAGTTCACCTTTTACTACTCAGTACATGGAACATATTCAAGGATTGACTACATTTTCGTTTCAAGAGACTGCCACCCATGCTCAACACACTGCGAAATAGGTGACCTAGTATGGACAGACCACGCGCCGGTGCAACTAACACTAAGGGATCAATTAGACTTCCGAGGGAAAGCACCTTGGCGCCTAAATGATGCTCTCCTACACAACTTAGAGTTTAAAAACACGCTTACTGAAGAGATAGCAACATACTTTACCCTGAACAAAACACCTGAAATATCGCCAGCCACCACGTGGCAGACACACAAAGCAGTAATCCGGGGACTCCTCATAAGCAGGGCATCACACCTAAAACGAACATCACAGCAGGAGTACGTTAGCTTACTAAGATCCCTTAGGGATGAGACTAACAATCAAATCTTACAACCGTCACCTACAACACAACTGCACATAGACAACTTAAAGAAGAAACTTAACGAAATACACCTCCAAACCACAGCACTCATGACACATAGGTTGAGATTGACTACCTAAACACAGGAAAACAGAGCGGGGAAGGCCTTGGCATCACTCCTACGACACAAACGGCAGAACTCCAAAATACCATTCCTCATAAATTCTAAGGGCAATAAAATTTACAACCTACGGGACATAAATGACACAATGGTGGACTATACAACAAGCTTTACAACCTAAAAAATGACAGCAATACACACCAACCACTCTCCTTGGAAATTGATGGATTTATGAATGAAATACAACTCCCTACACTCAGACAGGCCGACAGACTGCTGCTGGAGGCACCCATCACCCAACAAGAAATTACACGCACAATACAATCACTCCAAAAGGGAAAGTCACCGGGCCCAGACGGGTTTACGAATCTGTACTACAACCTTTTCACACATTCTAACCCGCAAACTAGAAAACCTATATAATAATATCCTGACCACCGGCATTATGCCCCGAAAAATGTTGATGGCCCAAATTGAGACCTTGCCCAAGCCGGGCAAGCCACCGCACAAATGCCAGAACTTACACCCCATATCATTGCTAAACACAGACTTCTGGCGAAAATATATGCAACAAGACTGTTGGACCTCATACCGACACTGATACAAGATGACCAGGAAGGGTTTGTCCGGGGCAGACAGGGTTCAGATGGGACATGGAAGCTTATAAACATTATCCATCGGATTCAGCAGATGGGGAACCCAGTGTGGTGCTCTCATTGGATGTGTCTCAGTGTCCCCATGTCTCCCAGTACCCCCTAGTCTCCCAGTGCCCCCTAGTCTCCCAGTGTCCCCATGTCTCCTAGTGCCCCTATGTCTCCTAGTGTCCCCAAGTGTCTCAATGTCACCATGTCTCCCAGCCAGTGTCCCTAGTGTCTGTGTCTTCAAGTGTCCCCTATTTTCCCAGTATCCCCATGTGTCCCAGCCAGTGTTCCCTAGTCTCCCAGTGTCCTCAGGTCTATGTCCCCATGTTTTCCAGGGTCCCCATGTCACTTGGAACATGGGGACCCTGGAAAACATGGGGACATAGACACATGGGAATATTGGGGGACACATGGAGACATGGATCACTGAGACCTGCAGTAATCGACACATGGGGAAACTGAGTCATGAGGGCACTGGGAAACATGGGGTGCCCTCTGGGACACTGGTATCCATCTATACAGCAGAATCAAACCAAGTAGTTTTTTGGTGATTTTACAGCATTTTCTTTTATGTCACTCCTTGTGATTTACATCATGTGATGTCACCCATACATAATTAATTATGCAAATTAGTAAGGCCAGTATGTTTTTCCAAGAAAGGTGGCAACACTAACTAATTTTCACATACTCTTGCTTAAGTATAGAAACTTAAGAGGGATGGGAACAAAACTTGTGTGGACTGGCTGACAATGAAATTAGTTAAGGTAATGCTGACTTTGGTCTCTCTAACAATATGGCATGTTCCCTTTCTTCTACACTACATACAGTTTTTCTCTGTCCCAGACTATATACCAGGAGCTTCTGCCTGCTGGCAAGAAGGTAAGGAGACAAGTGTACCAGCGAGTGCTAGGGGACAATCCTTAGAAAGCATTGACTGAGCGCATCATTAGACGCATTTATGCCAAACTCAGGGTGCTGTCTGCATAATATGCCCTTAGTTGGCCTGCTTGCATGATAGGCAGGTAGCCTGACATGCATTCATGTCAGGCTGGCCTTCCAATTCTTTGGGCAGACATGCCCCTTTTTGGACTTATTCGCCCCTTTTTGCAGGTCACGTGATTTGTGTCAGTGGCACACCCCTTTATCGTGCCCAGTGACTTCCTGCTTGACTGGACACTGCTGTTAGGGGCTATGGATTTATTTGAAAGATGAAAACCTAAATTAGAGAGAGATTAGCATAGGGTATGTGTTTTCTTTATAGCTGCTGTTTTCTTTCCCTCCAGCACCATCTCCATCAGATACATGACGCTTGGGAGTGTTTTAGTGTTGTTAGTCGATAAGATTCTGTAATTAGGCCCGTCATAATTGTCAGCACCAGGCCCACTGGGCTCTTTACCTGGCCCTGATTGCAGCGCATGCGCATTTAGTCTCCTACACTGACTGACGTTGGCAGGGGAGTAGCGTGGGGGGGAGCTAAGCCAGGGCCGAGGGACATCAGCGCTGGACCCAGGTAAGTGACCCTTATGCACAATGGAGGTTTGGGGGCCTTGACAGAACTGTATGCTATATCTGGCACTATAGTTTCCTTTTAAGATTCACATACCCACTTTTGGGCACCACGGAAATATATGTCACATTCTAGATCCACTCAAAATCTCTGGAGTAACATTGACTAACAGCTATCACTACCCATAAAAAAAATCAAGCATACAAAATGGAGATTTCAGATTAAATTTATAACCCTCACACATCTTAAAGAGTACAGTATTTTTCTCATATTACCATTTAACCACATTCCACAATCCTTCTTTCACGTTATGGTGTGCTGTATTTGACTTTTTTTATCACATCAAACCAGCCAGTTTTTATTGATATCTTGTGTGACAAATTCCCCTTTTCCTGTGAGTTTGCCACGAGTCCTTGGAGGGGCCTGCTTGCCAGCCTCCTGCCCACAGACAATGGACCCTGTAGACTGTGATATAAAAGTCTCAGTTTGTCTATTTGAATTATATGTTTCGGTAACTGAGCAGCTTCACGAACTGGAGACCACCCTGGAGCTTGTTAAGCTTTATTGATACATTGTTGCAATTTCCACTGCAGTGGTCTAAGTGTTCGTCTGAGTGGCCGCAATTCCTATGGACGACCATGAGGTGGCTGCCATCTTGTTCGCATGGACCAAAACCATGAATAGATTTCAGGGGGACTTAGCTGCGAATGCCCTGGAACTATTTTCAGCATGAAAACTTTGCGGTTCCCGGTCGGTCCTCCAGCAGCACGTAGCTGCGATTCTATGGAACTATTTTCGGCTATGGGACCATGCCTTAGGTCGGACAAATAAATGACTTCCAGGAAATTCCTGAACCCCTGAACTGATCTGGATGATTTTTGGATATGTTGGTCACCCAGACCAGGGCTATCAGAGGATGTAACATTTGTGAGGTTTTATGTATTTTTAGGGTACTTTTGGGGTGTTTTGAAAAAGTATGTTTTTTTTGTCTGTGCTTGGAGATAATTGGATAAGAAATAGTACAGTTACTGATCCAATTATCTCCCAGGCAGAGGGGAGGGATTGCGTGCTGTGTGTGGGAATGTTGTGCCTTGTAACCTTATTGTTATTGGTCTGTGAAGTTGCAAATCAGTCCCCCACAAGGTCCCTGGGGGCGTACCCCTTGCATGAGGGTTGTCATATAAGGCCAAGTGTGGCTCCCATTAAACTGAGATTCGTTTACCCCTTCATGAAGTCTTGCCTCATGTTTGGGGGATTGGAGAACTACATTCCCTCTGGGGATTGCTATAATCACTATACTCCCCTGAGTATAATCACTAGCTCTTATAAGAGCTGTGCCTTCTACGCTCTCTGGACTAAGAGAGGTCTACTCACTAGAAGCTGGATCCTGGTCTTGGGTCCAGGGTGAGTGGAGGACAGCAAGACCCCAACCAAGCTGCGGTGGTTCGTGGGGTTTACGGTTGTTATGGTGTTCCATTCCAGTGCTTATAATACTCGCAAGTACTAGGAAGCAGCGATTGACGGAAGTAACCGGTCGAAAGCAAGGGGACCGAAGTCTCTCCACCAGCCCTACAGGGATGCTGGGAAGCCGGCCCAGATCCCTAGCTATAGCTGGAGGTACCTAAAGTAGGGGACCTCATAGACTGGTAATTGGAGGAACCCCAACTGGCAGGAGGAGATGGGACCTAAGTCTCTCCACCGGCCCTACATGGATGCTGGGCACAGACCCCAGCAGCAGTGTGCAGTACAGGGAGCGGAAGGTGTCATCCTTCCTCCCCAGTGGCAGTGTATTCTACAGGGAGTAGAGACAATTGGTCTCACTCCCCAGCGGCAGTGTGCAGTACAGGGAGCAGAAGGTGTCATCCCTCCTCCCCAGCGGCAGAGTGTGTTATTGGGAGAATAGGCAGTCGGTCTCTCTCCCCAGCGGCAGACAGAGACACAGGGAGTAGGGACAGTCGTTCTCACTCCCCAGCGGCAGTGCCCAATAAAGGGAGTCGGTCTCATTCCCCAGCGGCCGAGTATATTACAGGGAGAGGAGATTGTCGGTCTCACTACCCAGCACCAGGCAGCGTTACCGGGAGGCGAGACAGTCCACTTTACAGGGAGAGGAGGCAACTGGTCTCTCTCCCCAGTGGCAGGGCAAGTTATTGGGAGTAGAGACAGTCGCCCTCCCTTCCCAGTGGCAGTGTACCTTGCAGCAGCCGGAGATACCGGGAGATACAACTGGTCCTTCTCCCCAACTACAGGGGGACAGCACCCCTTATCCCAAGGGTGCAGATGGGACCGCGGTCTCTGTACCCAACCAACAGGGATGCTGGACAGCCGGTCCAGATCCCCAACCAACCCCGCAGGAATACCAGGAGCAGTAGGCAGGCGATCCCTCCTCTCCATGGCAGTTACCAACCAGGTCCTGGGGTTAGTGGATGGGACAACAATACCCACTGACCCCCTTCCAGCAAAAGGCCTCTGCCTTACCTGCCCCCTTGTTACAGGGCAGGACTATGTACCAGTCTCCCCAGCAGAAGTGCTGGCACCAGGGCAGAGCACAGTTGGCCTCTGTCCACCCCTTTCCCTTTATCCAGAGCCTGAGGTTACACAGGCCACCCCAGCTGTAACGCTGGCTACAGGGCAGAATGCCGCTGGCCCCTGCCCTACCTACCCCTTTGTTGTGGGGCCTGACGACCCACCAATCCACTCAGCTGAACCGCTGGCTGCTCTGCCCACCCGGCACGGATGAGGAAAACTGTTCCCCCCAGCGACTGCTTGATCCAACCAGGGGGGAGTGCATCCAGGTTGTTTCCCTGTAGGACACTGGATGTACAAATGGGCACTTGTGGCAGGAGGTCATCTGGAAAACTACGCCTTTTGGGATAGGCCAGCAGACTACCACAGATCCAGACCGATTAGAGGTCTGGGTCCTCCCTGGGAGGGGGAAAATGTGTGACAAACTCCCCTTTTCCTGTGAGTTTGCCACGAGTCCTTAGAGGGGCCTGCTTGCCTGCCTCCTGCCCACAGACTATGGACCCTGTAGACTGTGATATAAAAGTCTCCGTTGGGTCCAGGGTGGGTGGAGGACAGCGAGACCCCAACCAAGCTGCTGCAGTTTGTGGGGTTTATGGTGGTTATGGTGTTCCAGTACAGTGCTTATGGTGCTCGCAAGTCCTTGGAAGCAGCGATTGACAGATGTAGCCGTTTGGGTGCAAGGCAGTCCGTCACACCTTGTTTTGTGAAATTTAGTTATGAAAGATCAGGGATCAAGCAAGATGTCACATTCTATTCGGCCAATTTATGTCGCCTCTTCCAAAAATGTAAATGAGTGGAGGGGTGGACACTGATTTGCTTTTATGTTTTACATGCCAAATGTTAGGGATACAATATCAATTTACATGCATTAGTTAGGGAAATTCATGTCCTTGTCAATATATAAGGAACTGTTGACAGCATAAAAGGAACAGTAACATAGCAACATACAAATCATTTTGCCCAACCTGGTGGTTGCATGCTTTACTTCAGTAAATGCACACTATAGTCACCAAAGTAACTTTAACTAAAAGGGAAACTATAGTGCCAGGAAAACAAAGTTTAATGTCCCTATAGTGACTATTGAGTCTCTTTAAATATACTTTTTTTCTGTTCAGTATATAGAATACTAAATGACTGGCCATGCTGCTTAAAGGAACACTCTATTCACTGGACACCACTACAACCTGCTTGGCACTGTCCCACTGATAAGCAGTCATCCAATCTGCTCATGTCTCCATAGAGCTAGGTAGAGTCAATTAAGGGATGCGCTCATTGGCTATGAGCGCTCAGCTGACACTTTCCGCCAAAGGAGTGCAGTCTTGCATGACTCTGCTTAGCTATTTAGAGCTAACTGGATTC